AGAGAGAGATATCGCAGAAGGCGCCTTTTTGAAATTTCAAACAAACCTGAATAAAAAAATCAAATTACTGGCCTGGACTTGAGTAGTTTCTTTTGAGGTGCTAATTTAGTTATTGTTTGCCAAAGAAAGCTTCTTAGATGTCGAAAGCGATGTTGCTCGCACCAATCAGACCCCGCTGTCTAATATTATAAACTATTTATGGTGACTTCTCCTTGCCTAGTGCTGAACACGAGAAGACGACATCTGGAAAGGATTGTGATTACGAATTGGATAGATTTTGCTATGCGTGCGGTGAAAATACAATGAACTGAATTTGAATACTAGATTAAATAATCTGATAGCAAACACGATATAAAAGCTTTCAGTATAACCTTTTGCTTCTTCAGAATTTTTTATTTATAACGTCAAAGCTTTTGTCCTTAACCGGGTAGTTTCAGATCCAAGGGCATGATGGTTAAAAGGAAAATAAATTAATTTTATTCGACTTTCCGTATGTTAACAGCCAGCTTCTAAAGCAGAATAACTTTCCCCTGAGTTTCTCTTCCTGATGCCTGTGATGTAATCAGCAACTTATTCGTTATCATCAAACATATATTTTTTTCTAAACTCATAAAAAATTGGCACAAAATGCTTTTAGTTGATTAGAGGTGACACCCAGTCGTTTATGAAAAACTACAAGAGGACCAGAAAAACTCCTGTTCGCAAAGAAAAAAATTAATGAAAGTTGCGGTTGAAAGAGTGCAATAACCTTTGGAGATATTTCACCCAACTATTTCCGTGAATAATTTTCCATATGCGCGCTTTCATTTGCAACCATGATTACAGCATAATTAATAGCCGCCTACTAAGAACGTTATAGGATATTTCGGAATCAGTTTCAGAAGTCTTTTACACTTAACAAAGAATCAAGAGAAAGGAATTGATGCTCTCTGGGGTGATTGCTTTGCCTCTTCTTCCTGGTCAAAGTGAGGCCTGATGTTACTGGTGTAGATTGACATCCACCTGTGCAGTGTCTTATCTGCCGGACCTTGATGGCTCGTTGTCATGTGATGGTCGACAAGCAACGTCCGCGTCTTTGTGGCCCTACAGAAAACTGCCTGGTCGAAACGCTGCTCAAGCGCGTTCTCCAGTGGCCCAGGTCGAGATGCAGATGTCCCTTCTGTAGATGGTGTCCATGTCCACTGCTTGGACAAACTAAAATGTTCTGCGTACTTAAATTTCATAGACAACCTTGACCAATTGGCAGAAGTTATATCAAATTACTCTAAATTTAAATTGTTTCCTTAACGTTCAAACAACCATTGGACTTAATAAGATCAAAATCCATCGCATTCTGTTAGTGTGAGAGAGATTCGTTGGAAGTGCATTTTTCGAGCTAATTTTAGCCTTATACCCCAGTGATTTGATGTGGGGGCTCTAATACCCCAAGGATTAGACGGGAACCCGAACTACTTTGGATTCTTGAATAACTCATTGACCCTCACAAACTGTGAAAGTTTGAAAGAAATCGGTGAGATGGCATGTGTCACGCCTGCCTGGTCCTCACGTGGACAGTTTCTTAATCCAATAATTCACCTATATGTTTACTTATTAGTTGTTTTTGTTGGTTTTATTTTGTGTAATCAGTTGGTAATATGTCAGACCTAGAGCTACCAATACGAAGCTTAGCTGCTTTCATAACTGAAGCAAGTGTATGTGTTGCTTTGAGCGTCACAAGCATCATTGGAAACCGTCTGGTTTGTATAGTAGCATACAGAAACACAAAACTGCAATCAACTACCAACCTCTATACCATTGCTTTAGCAGTCAGCGATCTGCTATGTGAAACAGTGGCAATGCCGTTAGCCTCTGTAACACTGATTATTGGAAGGTGGAACTTAATCGATTTCAAATGCCAAATTCAAGGTTTTGTTGGTATACTCACGACTGACGTGACCCCGGCAACTGATGGTTTAATCGCGTTCAACCGATATGTAAAAATTGTGAAGACCAACCACTACAAGAAGATTTTTACGCCCCGCAGATCTAAGATATGGTTGAGTAGCTTGTGGCTTTCCCTTGTACTTTACCTGTTCATTGCCCAAGTCACATATTCGGCAAATATTTATCCGAAGTTATGTAACGTGCTCCTTTACTTACCCAAGTAGAGAGAGTCAAATCTTTCATTATTGTATCGCTGTCGGATTGCTTCTTGTTTTACCATAAAGTATCGCTATTTTAGTTATTAAAGATATTTCTCAAATGAAACCAATGAGCATTTACACAATGTAGTCTCGTCGCTACAGAACAGGACTGAAAATGGTTCAGTAACCAACTCAATGAAAGAAATTAACATTAATCGGGTGCTGTTGTACGTGGCCGCAGGCTTCTTGTGTTGCTGGATACCAATGCGGGCACTTACATTCTGGTTTCGATTTTCCTTTGAAACCTGCCCAAGAATTGCAGCTTTGTTAGCAACTTTCCTCTACTATTGGCGCATTTCGAAAGCAATTTCAGAACCTACTTTGTTGTCACCTTGCAAAGGCAAGAGATCTGCGAAATGTAGCTGCCTTAATTAATGAAAAGGAAATTGCAAAACTTGAGGGCGAAGCGAACGTACAAGTCTTGTAGATTTTCAAAGTTTCTGATATTACATCCTATCCGCTAAAAGAAGAAGGGAACGTATCTTGTGTAATGTTTCGCAGAAATGTTCATGATATTTCCTGCTCTAATTGTCGAATTAGTACAAACATATCAGAATACAGTAAGTTGGTAGAGTATATTCCTCAGTCGTGTGCCAGATCTCTTTAAAGAAAAATTTTTAATCATATATACACTGTAACAGAACCAAAACCACCAACACCTTCCTTCCCATAGGAAAAAAAACAGAACCAGGTAATTTCTATGTATAGGAAAATATACGAATGCGCGCCTTTGATTAAGACCCCATTCACACCAGCAAAATGTTTAATTCAACGGGATTTAGCATGATGAAATTCAGAAACGGAGAACTGAAAAACTGAACTTTCAATAATATCTAATTTATCGCTGACTTGTAATTCATTGTGCGAAACTTGAAGTCGGCAGATGTTGATTAAAGAAGCTTCTATAAAGAAAAGAATTTGAATCATGTTTAACAAAACAGTTTAAAACATATATAATTAAGCTTTCTTGTGAATGGGGTATTAGATGCATGGAAATGAAATGATGACGCAGTAGGCGAATTACAAAATTTGACGCAAACCTGCATCCCAAATATGCTTCCTCCTAAATAAACTCATAATCATCAGAATGAATAAACGGCTCTTAAAAAATCATTATTACTAATCTATTCATGATTTCCTGTTAGCAATTAAAATTTAAAGTGTTACATGAAAACCTCGAGCATCTTTTTTAATCTTTGGGTGGCAACAGCTTCAAACTCTTAGCCCCTATCCATCAGATAGTGAGTTTCAGGTAAATATACTAAAAATGATAAAGATTTCCATATTTAATAAGTAATTTGACATAAATAAAAGATTAAGTTGCACTTTACCAGCCTCAAAATATGTTATTAGTCCTAAGGTGTCCATTTTTAAGACAGCTACGCGAAGGAAACCTTTGTGAGTCCCTCAAGGATCGTCGGCTATCAGAAAGTTCAATCTCAATTCAGTTATGATTCAGAAAAAAGAATTAATCCTTTCACACACACAGGAAAATGTTGATATTATGACGAGCCGCCTTACCTGGGACATTTTTATAACAAAGGACGCTATTTGAGACGACATGTTCCCGCTTCTACTTATTTTGTCTAAGTGTGAGCTTGGGGCTTGAAATAAATTTATCTCATGAACTTTTCTTTACCTAGGGACATTTTTATAACGAAGGACGCTATTTAAGACGGTACGTTGCTGCTCCTATCGAGTGAGATTGTGTCTTGAACTAAATTTATCTCATGAAAAAAATTATGTAAATCAGAAATTTATCCGGGAATCCTAATGACACAATTGTAAAACCGCTCTTGTCTCCCCAAACCTGGACAAAATTCGTTTAGTAACGAAGATTAATTGATTACAAAGATCTTTAAGCTGTTCTTTTCATTGTCAGGCTTGATAGGTGCGGTGTCCAAGCAAGCAAATTTATAATATAGCTAGTAAATTTGTCCAATGAAATTCAATTGCGTGAGCGTGCTTCATTTTCCTATTGTTAGACAAATTTACGTGCTATGTTATAATCTTTTTTTGTGGTTATTCCCGCGCACGCCACCCTATCGCGTCCTATTTAAGTAAAAACATACTTTTCGAAATATTCAAAAGTTATTCATGGTCATATGATAAAATGCTTATTGACTGAGTCAAGTCATACAGAATCCCAATTTACACATATGAAGTTGCCGCTTTTTCCGGTTAGAAATCTTTGTTAAACACCGCAGTTTATATGACAGTTTGTATTTATCAGTCGGACCAGCTGAATTTTCACAACTTCAGTGTTTTTCTAGCAAAATAATAGTTTTCTCAAGAGCTTTGGGGCTATGCCGAATAATAGACAATTCATTCTTTTTAATAACTCGCCTTTCAACTTACCACCTGCTACAAGTTACACGTGACAATAGGCCAGATATGTAACTAATAAAAATGCTGATGAAAATTCGCAATCAAGCTTATGCAAGTATAGATTAATTTTCTTGGGTTACCTTCAATGAAAAAGACGAAGTATTTCGAAAACGGCAAACTTATATGCACTTCGGCAGAATAAAAAACTACTTATTTTTTTTCTTGAAATCATAGTCAAACATACAGATGTTTCAGTCTTTATTGCATTTGTGTAGGCTTTCGTTCAGCAATTGTGTGTCTTGCAGACGTCACTATGAGGAAGTTAAAAATACATCAAACGCTCTTGGCCCTTCCGCTGTTACCTTAAAGATGGGCATAGGCATAAAAAGGCCTTTCTTACCCTGAAAGTTTACAGAAAATGAGCAAAAATTGTGGTATTTAAAAGTAAAAAGGCATTTTGAACCAAGAAGAACCTCAGTTTGGGTGAGTTAATCGACAACTTTGAAAACAAAGTATGAATTAGCCACCTCAAAACCGTTTTGGTGAAATTATCCTGTGGAATTAAGGTTAGTTACAGATGATATCTAATAACCCATTTCTCGCTTTTTAAACCCAATTTTTAACTCTAAAAAAAGCCACACTCTCTGCACTGTGACAGGTAAAGACTGGTAGAGTTAAAAAGACAATAGCTCCAACCTTGCAAGGAAGTTTGACCGCCGTTGAGCTATTATAAATACCGTCCCATATTCTTCTGTGATCTGACTTGTTTTCATCGAATCTCAGCGTAAAGTAAAGCTTTCGCTAGATCTAATTAGAATTATCAGTGAACGCTTAAACTGGCAAAAACTTTCGCTTGGATCGCGGACAGTTCACATAATTGTCACAAACTCCTCGCATAAGAAATTCGAAATACGCAACTAACTCGCAGCCAGCTGTTCCTTGAAACAAATAAAATGAGAGCTTTAGAGTTCTTTACTAGCAATTTTGGAAAATTTGGTAACGGCTAACGGCGCCACAAATAAATTCAGCGGCACATTCGTGACTTTATCAATCACCGAAGTAAGATAATTATTTTTCTTCAAACATTTTTGGTCAGGGGAAACAGGGAGTGACGTAATCGTCGATCTTTCTCAGGTACAGTAGTGGAACACCACATGTACATTTATTTATCAATTGTTCTCGCCATTTTCGTGGAAAGTCATTAAGCACCGCACCACACTATTACTTGTGATTAACAACTTTTCGAGTGCATGTTTTCCCAACGTTCCGAGTTGGGTATTACGCTGGTAAACCGACAGAAAGTGTGGGTTATTGCTTTTATAAAATAAAATTAAAACAAAACATATTATGTGTCAAATTTCTCTGGGTTACCGATGCAATGACGATAGGTTTTTGACCAATTCCGTTTATTTATAAAGCCTGATAACACAAAGGTCTGGGAAATGTTGAAATAAAAAATGTTGGATGAATGAATGTATTCAGGCCTTAGGCAAAAACAATAATCCATTAGTAGTTGTGTCTTTAAGACCTATTGCAAACAGCTTTCCCCCTCACCTGCAGCTCTCACTTTTTTATGTAAGAAAAGAATAAAAAAAGGTGTCGATTTTGTACGTATTGGAAAAGACAAGTATAAAGCAAACTATAAAGGAGCCTAAGTTTCCAAAGAAACTGTGGTGCTGCGACGGCGGGGAAAAGCTGACGTTTGACTGGCTTTAGGAACACCTCGCTCAATTCTGTGTCTGAACGCTGGAAGTTACAAAGACCCTCTATGAAAACAGTTTTAAGTAAGGGAGGATACGACGACTATTCAATAAAAAGATTACTTTTAACTTTAAACTGATTAATAAAGCCTTCATTTACCATGTTTCTATCTATTAACACTGAATTCAGGGTAGACTGAAAACGCAAAAGAGTTTCAGAAATAGAATGACATATCTTGACACTTCCCTTAATGATGCCCCAACCGAAGGCAATAAATGATTACCGTTTTGTGTATCATCCAACATTTTATTTTTCTTAGGTCAATTCTACTCAGACGTTATCAAAATACACCTTTTGGAGCCCATATGCATTGTTTAAGATTTGTTGAGAGAAAGGAGAATTTTCAAAATTTAGTCAGAAAGCTTGCATGGACAGCTTAAGTTTTCGATCTATTTCAATTCAAGCAAAACATTCAATTACTAAAATAATTTATTTGGGCGATAACAGTTTGAAGGATGCCCTATAAATGTTCGTCAATTTTAAACTTAATCTATATATGCAAATTAACGTCCTCTGTAACAGGAAAATTATGACGATACGGAGAAAATATAAAAGTAATATGAATTGGCGCCTTCAGCTGATATGTTCGATCCAAGCTTCATGAGGAGTAAATGTGGAAACAAACTAGTGGAACTTTTCGGCAGACGGGTGTTAACGACAATCATAACAATGATAATATTAACAATAATGAAGAAAACGATGATTATGATTGTAATCACAAAATAGAAAAAAATGAACAAAGAAATAGAGAAAACAGGTTTGACGGCTTACGTTTATCTTCAAACGTTCCCTTGTCATCAATACTGTTTCTAATTTAAATAAATTGCAAGTTGCTTACGCCTACATCAACAAAATACACATTGCATATACAGAGTATGTGGATAGCTTATACCTGTCGGAGATTAAAAAAAGTATGCGTTGATTGCAAAGGGAGACAATACAACTGTACTAGTTTAAAACTCGAACGGAAATATTAAATATGTTTATTTTTTCCGTTGAGCTTTAACTTGCGGTTTGGATATACAAAAGAATTGGAAACGCATGCTAAATTACACAGCTGTATTTTACCTACAAAATGGAAAAAAATAAAATAAAATAAAAAAACAGAAAAAAAAAGGTAGTATGAGATTCTCTAGCAATACAGTCACTCGATCAGGAACGATTATTTAGCTGATAGAAATGCGTAGGTATTATACGAGTTACCAGTATGATGTTTTGTATTCAGTGTAGTATTCAAAGCAATTATATGTTAAGGAAGTAATGTGATTGTAACGCTGCCGTTAATCTTCATACGTCTTCATAAACCTCACTGTTCCCTTGCTTGGCATTGGATAAACTTACAATTCGAGAAGACGAGACTAAGATGGGTCACGCGGTTGAAAGACAAAAAGCCACTAAATAAACGAATATATAAATAATAACTAGATAGATGATTACAAGTAGATTTCGACAGTTCACAAACCCTGAGAGCGAATTAAAGGTGCGGGTGATGTAGTTTGCCGGGAAAGGGGAAAAGGCATTATTTTCATTTTGTTAATCTTCATCTCTCCTTACATATTTGTTTATTAATTTACTCAATTACTTGCTTTTTAATTTCTTCTATTTTCAGAAGGTGCTATGTCAAACTTAGAGCTACCAAGCCGAAGCTTACCTGCTGTCATAACTGAGGCAATTGCATGCGTTTCATTGAACATCACAAGCATCATTGGAAACAGTCTGGTTTGTATAGCAGCATACAGAAACACAAACCTGCGATCAACCACAAACCTGTATATCATTGCTTTAGCGGTCAGCGATCTACTGTGTGGAACAGTAGACATGACGTTAGCTTCTGCAACGCTGATCATCGGAAGATGGGACTTTGGCGACGCTTTATGCCAATTTCAAGGCTTTTTTGATATGTTCGCCTTTCAGGTGACCCCAGCAACTCTTGGTCTGACAGCAATTAACCGCTACGTGAAAATTGTAAAGACAAGCCATTACAAGAAGATTTTTTCGCCCCGCAGATCTAAGATATGGCTGAGTTGCTTGTGGCTTTCCCTTGCACTTTACCTGTTGATTGCCCGTGCCACAAATTGGGTTAAAATCGATTTTATTCAAAGCTATGCAGTGTGCTCCTTTAATTACCCAACTAATGAAAGTCAAATCGTTCATTATTCCATCACTGTCGGATTACTTTTTGTTTTACCGTTGTGTGTCGGCATTTTCACTTATTATAAGATATTTCTGAAAACCCATGAGCATCAACAGAATGTAGTGCCATCGCTACGGAACTGTACTGACAATACTGCAGTAAGCAACACAGTGAAAGAAATAAAGCTTACTCGAATGTTGATCCTTGTGGCAGCGGGATTTTTGTGTTGCTGGATACCAATGTGGGCACTTGTCCTCTGGTTTCGCTTTTCCCCTGAAACCAGCTCAAGAATTACAGCATTGCTTGCCATGTTTTTCTTTTATCTGAGTGCTGTAATAAATCCCATCATTTACGCCTTTACAAATGGCGAGTTCCGCAGGGAGTTTCGCAAACTGCTCTGTTGCCGCCGTGAAAGGTCAAGAATTGTGCTAAAGAAAGCTGCTGCGTTTACTAGCAACGATCTCGTCGAACGAGAGGAACAAGGAGCAAACTTTTAAGTCTAGTGAATTTGTGTTAGTAAAACATCCTCTTTTAAAAACAGGACGGAAAAGTTATTCCATTCTTTTTTATCTTTTTTATTACGGTTGCTTTTTGTCATTGCTGTTTCTTGCTGTTGGTCGGTTTTGTTTTGTTTTCTACTATGCTTGGGCTCAGATTTCTCAGAGAGGCAAACATCCTGGTAATACTTCTCCTGATCTGTCCTGACTATTTTTATAACCAGTAGCTGTACCTTTAATATTTTTAATTAGGTCAATATAACGGTTTTTTCTTGTTGTTACTTAATACTGTCTCTTTGCCTTCTACTTTTTAGTTCTGTTTTTAACATATCTTTGTAGTTCGGTTATTAAGGCATGGCCTGCCTAGATTAGCCTTTGCTAGTTGCGGGCATGCCCTTTTCTGTAAAATTTAATCGGAAATTAATAAAGTGTGTGTGTATATGTAAAAATTGTGAAGACGAACCACTACAAGTAGATTTTTTCGCCCCGCAGATCTAAGATATGGTTGAGTTGCTTGTGGCTTTCCCAAGCACTTTACCTGTTCATTGCCCGAGTCACAAATTCGGCAAAAATTTATTCGAAGTTATGCAATGTGCTCCTTTACTTACCCAAGTAGAGAGAGTCAAATCTTTCATTATTGTATCGCTGTCGGATTGCTTCTTGTTTTACCATTACGTATCGGTATTTTCAGTTATTACAAGATATTTCTCAAAACCAATGAGCATCAACATAATGTAGTCTCGTGGCCACAGAACAGGACTGAAAATGGTTCAGTAACCAACTCATTGAAAGAAATAAACATTAATCGGGTACTGTTATACGTGGCCGCAGGCTTTTTGTGTTGCTGGATACCAATGTGGGCACTCACTCTCTGGTTTCGATTTTCCTTTGAAACCTGCGCAAGAATTGCAGTTTTGCTAGCAACTTTCCTCTACTATTTTAGTGCATTTCGAAAGCAATTTCAGAACCTTCTCGTTGTCACCGTGAAAAGGCAAGAGATCTGCGAAATGTAGCTGCCTTAATTAATGAAAAGGAAATTGCAAAACATGAGGGCGAAGCGAACGTACAAGTCTTGTAGATTTTCAAAGTATCTAATATAACATCCTATCCGCTAAAAGTAGAAGGGAACGTAACTTGTGTAATGTTTCGCAGAAATGTTCATGATATTTCCAGCTATAATTGTCGAATTAGTACAAACATATCAGAATACAGTAAGTTGGTACATTATATTCCTCGTATGCCAGATCTCTTCAAAGGAAAATTTTTAATCCTATATACACTGTATCAGAACAGAAACCACCAACACCCTGCCTTCCCATAGGAAAAATAAACAGAACCAGTTAATTTCTACGTATAGGAAAATATATGAATGCGCACCTTTGATAAAACCCCATTCACACCAGCAAAAAATGTTTAATTAAAAGGGATTCAGTGTGATGAAATTCAGAAACGGAGAACTGAGAAACTGAACTCTCAATAATATTTAAGTTATCGCTGACTTATAATTCATTGTGCTAAACTTGAAGTCGACAGATGTAAATAAACTCATAATCATTAGAATGAATAAACGGCTCCTCAAAAATCATTATCACTAATCTAATCATGATTTCCTAATAGCAGTTAAAATTTCAAGTGTTATATTAGAACCTCAAGCATCTTTTTTAATCGTTGAGTGACAACGGCTTTAAACTCTGGCCCCTATCCATCGGATAGTGAGGCTCTATGAGTAAGTAAATATACTAAAAGGGATAATTTCCACATGAAATAAGTAATTTGACATAAATAAAAGATTAAGTTGCACTTTACCAGCCTCAAAATGTGGTATTAGTATTCATGCGTCCATTTTTAAGATAGCTACGCGTAGGAAACTTTTGTGAGTCCCTCAAGGATCGTCGGCCATCAGAAAATTTAAAGTCAATTCAGTCATGATTCAGAAAAAGAAAATTACTCCTTTCACGCACTCAGGAAAATGTTGATATTATGACGCGCCGCCTTACCCGTGACATTTTTATGACAAAGGACGCTATTTGAGACGACATGTTGCCGCTTCTACTTATTTTGTCTAGGTGTGAGCTTGGGTCTTGAAATAAATTTATCTCATGAAATTTTCTTTACCTAGGGACATTTTTATGACAAAGGACGCTATATAAGACGGTATTTTGCTGCTTCTATTGAGTGAGATTGTGTCTTGAACTAATTTTATCTCATGAAAAAAAAATTATGTAAATCAGAAATTTATCCGTGACTCTTAATGGCACAATTCTAAAACCGCTTTTGTCTCCCCAAACCTAGATAAAATTCGTTTAGTAAGGAAGATTGATTACAAAGATATTTAAGCTGTTCTCTACATTGTTAGGCTTGATAGGTGCGGTGTCCAAGCAAGCAAATTTAATATTCACAAAATTACGAGATAACCAACGACATATAACCTACACACAAAAGTCTCGTATTCGGCGCACGCCTAACCTTAACTATCGTCTCAACATTAGCATTTGTAATTTGACAAATACATGACATTTTCACAAGTATGCCACTCCTTGACAGCTATGATACAATAGAGATGAAGAAAACTTGTTTCACTTCACGTGTTCGTGAAAGATAAGCGGACAAAAACATAAACTGAAGGACAGTAGTGAGCAGAAATAAGAAAATAAGCCACGCCCTTCGATGAATCGCAATTTCCTGCTCTGACTCGAAAAAGGAAAGGAAGAATTTTCATCGTAGAATATTTTTTTTGTGGTTATCCCCGCGCACGCCAGGCTTCGCGTCCTATTTGAGTAAACACAAGCTTTTCGAAATATTCAAAAGTTATTCATGATCATATGATGAAATGCTAATTGACTGAGTCAAGTCATACATAATCCTTATTTACAAATATGAAGTTACCGTTTTTCTCAAGTTAGAAATCTTTGTTAAACACCGCAGTTTATATGATAGTTTGCATTTATCAGTCGGACCAGCTGAATTTTCACAACTTCAGTGTTTTTCTAGCAAAATGACAGTTTTTTCAAGAGCTTGAGGGCTATGCCGAATAATAAACAATTCATTCGTTTTTACTACCTCACCTTTCAACTTACCGCCTGCTACAAGTTACACGTGACAATAGGCCAGATATGTAATTAATAAAAATGCTGATGAAAATTCGCAATCAAGCTTACGCAAGGAAAGAGTAATTTTCTGGGGTTATCTTTCAATGAAAAAGACGAAGTGTTTCGAAAACGGCAAACTTATATGTAATTCGGGAGAATAAAAAAATATTTTTTCTTGAAATCATAGTCAAACATACAGATGTTTCAGTCTTTCTCGCATTTTTTTTCGGGGCTTTCGTTCAGCAATTATGTGTCTTGCAGACGTCACTATGAGGAAGTTAAAAATACATCAAACGCTGTTGGCCCCTCCGCTGTTACCTCAAAATGGGTATAGGCATGGAAAGGCCTTTCTTACTTTGAAAGGTTATAGAAATGAACAGAAATTGTGGTATTTAAAAGCAAAAAGGCCTTTTGCACTAAGAATAGCCTCAATTTGGATTAGGCAATCGTGAACTTTGGAAACAAGTATTAATTAGCCTCTTCAATACCGTTTTGGGGAAATTTTCCTGTGGAATTAAGGTTAGTTACAGATAATATCTCAAGTAATCCGTTTTTCGCTTTTTAAACCTAATTTTTTGCTCTAAAAAAAGCCACACTCTCTGCACTGTGACGGGTAAAGACTGGTAGAGAGACAATAATTCCAACCTTGCAAGGAAGTTTCACCGCGTTGAGCTATTATAAATACCGTCCCATATTCTTCTGTGGTCTGACTTGTTTTCATCGAATCTCAGCGTAAGGTAAAGCTTTCGCTAGGTCTAATTAGAATTATCAGTGAATGCTTAAACTGGCAAAAACTTTTGCTTGGATCGCGGACACTACACAAAATTGTCACAAACTCCTCGCATAAGAAAATTCGAAATACGCGACTGACTCGCAGCCAGCTGTTCCTTGAAGCAAATAAAATGAGAGCTTTAGAGTTCTTCACAAACGATTTTGAGAAATTTGGTCAAGCTCTCTGATTCTTATCGTGAGACAAAGTTGAAAACTAACGGTGCCACAGATAAATTCAGCAGCACATTCGTGACCTTATCAGATGATTATTTTTCTTCAAATATTTTTGGCGTGGGAAACAGGGAGTGAAGTAATCTTCTCTCTTTCTCGAGTAGAGAAGTAAAACTCCACATGTACATTTATTTATCAATTGCTTTCGCCATCTTTGCGGAAAGTCATTAAGCAACACACCGCACTTTCAATCGTTTTACCAAATTAATAACCAACTTAAAATATTTGGAGAACCGTGTTACTGGAAAAGATTGTGAATCACTCGCCTCTTACTTGGGATTAACAACTTTTCGAGTGTTTTCACAACGTTCCGAGTGGGGTATTATGCTGGTAAACCGACAGAAAGTGTGGTTTATTGCTTTTATAAAATAAACTTAAAACAAAACATATTGTTTCATATTTCTCTGGGTTACCGTGCGATAAACGATAGGTTTTTGACCAACCTCGTTTATTTATAAAGCTTGATAACACAACGGTCTGACCGGCTTTAGGAACATCTCGCTCGATTCTGTGTATGAACGCTGGAAGTTAAATGGACCCTCTATAAAAACAGTTCTAAGTAAGGGAAGATACGACGACTATTCAATAAAAAGATTGCTTCTAACTTTAAACTGGTTAATAAAGCTTTCATTTATTCATGTTTCTATCTATTCACACTGAATTCAGGGTTGACTGAAAACGCAAAAGAGTTTCAGAAATAGAATGACATATCTTGACACTTCCCTAAATGATACCCCAACCGAAGGCAATAAATGATGACTGTCTTGTTTATAATCCAATTTTATTTTTCTTCAGTCAAATTTATTCAGACGTTGTCAAAATACATCTTTTTGAGCCCATATGCATTGTTCAAGATTTGTTGAAAGAAAGGAGAATTTTCAAAATTTAGCTTGAAAGCTTGCATGGACAGCCTAATTTTTCGATCGATTTCAATTCAAGCGAAACTTTCAATTACTAAAATAATTTATTTAGGCGACAAAAGTTTGAAGGAAGCCTTATAAATGATCGTCAATTTCAAACTTAAATTA